GATAAATAAGTGTTTCAGATCTCTACCTCAGGCAGATTCGTGCTCGGTAGGAGTGGACCTTGATGGGTTTAACACACGAGGATGTTGCTCTATTCTTACTTCAACGAGGGACAGGGACTTAATACGAAACTGTTAAAGGGGTTCTTGAAAACCAATCTGAACCCAGGGAATCCCCGAACACAACCGAAATTAACATGTGGCCGTAGAATAGACAGAAGTTGTTAACCAGTGTCCCTGGAAACATCCGGAAACTTAGAGAGGAACCTCTAATAATGATGTTGTTTGGCTTATAAAGTAATCCTGAGACTTTTGACTCGTAGGTTCAACCATGAGTTAGGAATTTGGATCAATTCACTTTCTGCTCCACATTATTAGAACAAAACTTGAGATTATAATAAGACTATAATAAAACTATAATAAGACTTTATTGAAAATTTTTTATTTCTTTTTTCTTCCTTTTCCACCTTTGCATTTGGCACGTTATAATGGATCCTGATTCGCTGCTGGGCCCACATGAACGCTTTAAGCTTTAAGTTTGAGTGAAAAAATGACCCAAACATCAGTGTGAAATTCAGGATTTCGACCCCGAAAACGTCGACGGGCAGAAGTCCCGCTGATACCAAAACTGCCGCTCAGGGTCCTTTGGCACCATTGTTCAGGCTCCGCTCGATCTCCCCCCCTGTCTGCCCCCCCCCCCGCCCCCCCCTGTGATCAGAGCTGTTTGTTTATCCTGTTGACTCTGTGTCCAGGTTGTTGACTTGTCCATCACGGTGACCTAATCAAGTTAAACGGCGTCTGTTTTCAGACGGGCGTTTGGCCTTTAGGCCCCCAGGAGGGGGGGAGCGGGGGGTTCAAATCGTTACCTGGAACATCTGTGCAAACCAGACCGGCAGCACAGCCTCCGGTTTGTTCCCATTTTGGGCTCCAGGCCCCCTCTGCTCACACGGGAACTGCCTAGTGTGTGCACACAGCCTCCGGCTTAATTGAAAAGCATTCATTCCTTCCCCGTTCGGAGCAAACCCG